TTCCCATTCTTTAGCGCTCGAGCACTTGCGGAGAAAAAAATGCCAAAAACAACGTGTTTTGAAATGCCGCTGGAGATAGTGAGAGCGCTCAATTGTCATAATTTAAAGCTGAAGAGGAACAACTGGATAAACTAGTGGATTACAGGACTAAGGCAAGTAATCATCAGGCTATCGAAAATTGGGAATTCACTTTCGCAAACTGCACTTTGGAAGGCAACTGTGGGAAATCTCAATCTCTCAAATTTCATCAGCAACCTCAATTAAAAAGTTAAACATTGATCGAAAGCACTTATCGATCTTTGATCACTGCTAGTTTTACTTTCTTTTTTTCCTGTCTGCTCATTTAGGCATACTTAAGTAATGACAACTTTTAAAAAGGAATAAGGCGCTTGTAAGTATTTAAGGTTTTACCAACATTACACAAACATTCAAGGAGAAACGGTAGCCAAGCAGCCAATTTGCTTTGTAACATGTTTTATAAACTAAGCATTACCTTTGTTCAGATCGAACGTTATAGAGAGATGGAACAGAATACTTTCGCCGACACAAAATAGTGTGTCAATCTGACATGTTACTGTATCAATTCAGATTGATGAATATGACTTTCGCATTTTATACGTACGTTATAAATTGTATTATGCAAAGTAAACCAGTTTATAGCCATGCTAAAAAAATGTTTGGTTCTCTTGCAAAAATTTGACGTATCAGAAAGCGGCCACCCAATTTCAACAGTTGCATGATTGCATACGCGCTTGTTCCTTTTCTTTTTTTCAAACGATAGAAATGTTAAAAAAATGCACATTTATTTTCACAATGATCGAATGCTTCCATTACAAAGAAAACTCAAGACAGAGAGAATAAAAGAATTTCATTGATTGAAAACGAACAGACTCAAATGTGTAGGGCTTTTGCCGAATAGGCTAATTTAATCTTCCGCTGAAACAAGATTGCTGAAAAGTAATTTTCCATTACTTGGACAACAGTAAGTTGTACCGCCGATTGGACAACCAACCGTAATTGTTGCCATGTTACGACGTCAAGTCCATGTTTTGATCTTTTTTAACTAATAAAAATGATAAAACGAATACCAAACAGTAAACGAAACCAGTTTTCAACATGAAACAAATACACTTCCTTCTGATTCTACACCTACTAATTCATATAGCCATGATCCTTAATATTATTTTAGCTTAATTCATGGCTCTTTTGTACCTCAAGGGAACGGTTGTTACTTAATTGTGATATCGGATTAACTGTAGTTGTAAACACCATTTAGACAAAAGAAAGAAAATAATGAAGATAGTTTCATTTTAGACCACTGTAGAAAGCGAGATTTGAAAAATATGAATGATTTATTCTAGAAGGCGTTTTAGCTATATGTATAATTGTCGTATCAGCTGCTGTTAAGCGACAAACATTGCTTTGAACTGCATGGAACCAAAACATTTAGTTCTCATAGTAGACTTAGTTGAAATCAAAACAAATTAGTAAGGAGTTATTACTGATTATTAATTTGATAACAGACTAGTCTCTTGAACAAGAAACTATTTTTAATAATATAGATGCCAATTTTGAACTGAGCAAATTTAAGAAATAAAAAGTCAAATATTTCTTATTGTAACAAAAGTAAACGCATGAATATTGCAACTTTAATAACGAGGTGGAGATAAATTACTATATTTTGACTTTATATTCTCTACGTTCAACTCCTTACGTTGAATAACCCAAGAAATCGGATAGTGCGACGAATTAAACAAAGATTTTAGGTTATCTTCGTTTTCCATTTAGGCCAAACCAAAGCTTCAAATCATGGACGTATTTGATATATTTGAGGATAATAAACGGTTGCAAATGAGCTGAGTATATTTAAACACCTGTTGTGTTCGATCTCTTTGTCGCGAATTAAGTCGTCATATTCTTCACACGCGTCAAACTGTGGCTTCTTACCCTGTTAACGATTTGAACACAAATCACTCCAAATAATCGACAAAGAACTGCTAAAATGAGAATACCGTTGCTCTTGCTCTTCCTTGTTGCGGTTTTCGTTAGTTATTTTTGCACAGGGGGTAAGTGTGAGTTTTGTGTGTGTTAACAGACTTACTCAGTCAGCGAAAGTTAGAAGATAAAGTTATTGTCCATTTTAAGTTTTAAAAATGTTTGAAAGTTAATGGTGCAGTATTTTGCTTTTTTCACTAGAAAGGTTAAATGAGATAATAAACTAATAACAACTTAGGCACAAAAAAGGAGATATGAAATATCGCCGATTCTGCCAAGAAGTAACTACAAGCTCATCACAGAGTAGAAAACGTCTACATGGCAGCTGCATTCAAATAAAAAAAGAAACTATTAATTTATAAATATCACCCATTTTCAAGTGAGTGATTGTATTTCAAAACTTGTTCTAATTCATTACAGTGCTTTTCGGTTTTCTGTAAAATATTTCAAATGAATTGGTGAAAGACCTCCACAACAATTGCATTAATTAATTATCCGTTCAGACACCCGAACCGTGAAGGCAAGATATAGCTCAGTTTCTATCGTCAGTGAAGTGCCTTTTTACCAGAAAGTGCCCACTTAGTAACTTGTGTATAGCAGTGGTGTTGTGATATCCAGAATAATCAAGGTCGAGGTGAGGGTTATAATCCTCAGTGTTTTTCATCGCTGGTTACACTTACCGAGTCCTTGATAATTCCGGATGTCTGAAACAAACAAACGATTCTAACACAGTCGAACCTCCATGTGCGACCACCTCCCATAAGCAACTACAGATTCAACGCCAAAGCACTAAATCTTTCCTATATCTCATTCACATCAAATGAATCCGACACTGAAAAACATACAAGGAAAACTGGAACAGAGGTTTTCACACAGGATTAATGAAATTCAACATGCTTTGTAATTTGCTCTAAATTTGCAATCAACCTAAGGCAATAATCATATCTTAAAGATGTCGTAGCTTTGGGGTGGATGGAGCTTTAGTCTGATCATTACTGTTAGAACCTCTTGTAAACGGTCTCACCTTGTTGGAATCCCTCGTTAACGACCTCAACCCCCCGCGCCCGTCCAAGAGACCATGACTGTGACCTCTTTTTACGTTGCCGGTTGTAGATCCTCTTGCGCAAAGATTTGATCTCTTTTTCGGTGAATCTAATACACTTTACAAACTGTGCAAAGAATTTTTAAGAAAAGCAATATCATGTGAAACTTCACATAATATGTAATTTAATATTACAATAATTCCAAGCTGAATTAAAGGTGAATTAAGCGTTGCCAATTTGAATTTTGAAGCTTTACATTATCAAAAATTCCACGGGTCGCGAGACTCATTGGACAAGTTCTAACCTCAAGATGCTAAAATGTTTTATTTTCTTAACAGAGTGTAAAAACACCGCTTATTTTTCGAGAAGCACAGTTACGTCATCTTCCGAGCTTTCTCCTCAATTTTCCGCTGCGCATGCGTCTTTATCTTCTTCAACTGCATGGTGTCCACAACAAAACTTTACTGACAACGAGTACTTACAGGTCAGCCTTAATAATGAGTATTTGATGCCTTTGCTTTTGACTTTAAGATGCGTTCTTGTTTAATATACAATTAATTCAATAGAGGTTGCCGTGGCAATTGTTGGTCATTGGCAATTGGGTATTGGGCATTTGGGCATACGGCATTTGGGCATACGGAACCCACGGCAATGATAAGCTTGGGTGACCACCAAACAAAAATTCTCTGTACGCAACTCTCCAATATACCAAAATAACCTTCATTGAATCAGTATATATACTTAATTCAAGGTTGCTCTGGCAATTGGGCATTGGGGATTTGGGCATACAAAACAATACAATGATTTTCTCGAGTGCCCACCAGACTATGGATTTCCAGCGTGCAATTACTAATGCCCAAAGCAACCTTTATAGAATCAGCTACATACCGTGTGGCATTAGATCTTTGCCGGTTCTTAATTGTTATGATGTTTATTTGCATATGCGCCCAAACAAGCTCAAACAATTACAATACCTTTGTACGCAAACTGCTGAAAATTGAGAAAATATAGATGGCTAGCAAGAAAAGCCCTTTTAAGTGTTACCCGGTGAGCAAAGGGCGAAGCGCACCTATCACTTTTTATTTCACTTTTAGTTTCGTTTTCTTCTCGCGCAGCATTTCTTGCTACGCAGACGAACAACAATAAGCTCCTGCCATAGAAAGAGCTGGCGCAGGAGTTGTGGTGGTGGATGGTTGATGATAAAAGTTGTGTTTCAAGGTGATCAGGAACGTGACATTTGCCATAGAAAAAAGCTGGCGCAGGAGTTTTTTGTTTAAATGTCGCTTTGTGTTGTGAAAATCTTTGTTTAAACGATTCAAATTTCTTTGTTGTCAAACAATGGTGGTGGATGGTTGATGATAAATTGTCGTGTTGATGTTCTCCAGGAGTTGTTTGCTAATTCGCCCGATCTCGCTTTTTGGCAGGGTTAATAAGTCGGCAAGCGGGTTTGTTTTGGAAGTTGTCTTTGTGGTCTTTGAGTGTTATAAAGGCTTGTCGTTCAGCCATACGTTGTGTTTCAAGAATGTCATGTTGTAGTTGGTATTGAAGTCGTCTCGTACTTGTCTGAATTCAATGATCAGGAACGTGACATTTGCATACGAAGACCTATGAATGTGCTGTCGCGGTTCGTCTTGTTCTTATCTTTGTTTTGCTCGAAGAAGAATGCTTTCATTCGTCATTTTTTATTCAAATTTCGAAACAATGTCCTCCATTCCTTGCCCCCATCCTTTTCTTGCTCTAGGGGAAGATATTGATATTGATATTGATATTAATATTGATATTGATATTGACATTGATATTGATATTGATATTGATATTGATATTGATATTGATATTGATATTGATATTGATATTGATATTGATATTGATATTGATATTGATATTGATATTGATATTGATATTGATATTGATATTGATATTGACATTGATATTTATATTGATATTTATTACTGTTTCATAACCCAGATTGACTTAGGGGGAACGAAAGTATTAAAGAGGATAAAAACTGCCGGTGAAGCCAGTCCAGCCGTCAACCAAACTGCAAGAAACGTGACAAAGTTTCTGATTAAAGTCAGTGCTGACGGCGTTACATATGAGGATTTTGATGCGGTAAGGGGCTCTTAAGCTGACACCAATGGCTATAATGTCAGTTTTAATGTCATGATATGGCTGGTTTGAGCATGACGTCACGGCGGCTATGGTGTGGTAAAGAATCATCATCATCATCATCATCAATCTTTATTTATACACTAAATCGTATCATTTTACATGGTCTTCCTGGGAATCGTGTTTAAAACTAGACTAAAATACTCTAAGGAACTATTGACTATAATGTTAAAAATACAAAAACTTACATTATGAATATTAAGAGTTACAATGGGTCATGGTGTATTACAAAAATCGTTCCCATGAATTCAAGTTTTAAAAACATTTAAACTAGGCAGTTTTCTAATCTCTGAGGGAATCTTGTTCCACAGAACAGATCCGCTGTAGTGTAGGCTCCCAATCATAGAACACAATCATTGCTTTCCTTTGGGAACTAAACTCCATTTTTTCGTGTAAAGAATTCTTTTGAATTGTCCGCCAACATGGACGCCTTGTCACGTGGTTGCAAACCAAGAACGTATACTGTAGTTTCTCGAGTCAGCTTATCTACCTTATTTGATCTTATTTGACTTTGTGGCTGCAAGAAAATAGGCATCAGAACTTAGGTTGTCAGCGCTCCGTCGAATCAAATTAAGAGCTATGTTTAAACGGCACCCCTCAAATTTTCGACCTGTTGCCACAAAATTTGTGCTCTTAGGTAATTCGTTCACACGCTAACCATACAAAAAATTTAGACGCCTTGCCGCTCAAAAATTTGATCGTCAAAATCGGGGTCAAAGTTTTAATCAGAAAGGTCGAAAATTTGACCGGAGTGGTCAGCGGTCACAATAACCGTCTAAAGTTTTCTACAGCAAATTAAAGGCGTGGCTGCATGATACTTGGTAACTCAGCTAAAAGTCGTCATTTTGGATTTGCTAAAGTAGCGTTCTGCGCATGGGCAGATGGTAAAACTAGTTATTTGAACGACAAATCCGTCAATCCCGTTCCCAGAGGCCGCGATCCTTGAGTGTGAAAAGAGCGAAAATAGTGAACGTCTCCGTATAAGCATAGTGTTCTCTCAAATTTTTCAGCCGGTGGAAACTTCTTCCACTGCCTAGGGATTCGTAGCCTAACTAAAACAAAAATTCCAGCTCTGGGTGTTTTGTCAAAGAAATTAATAATACTTCAATTAATATTTTCCATCTTTCAAACCAAAAGAAAAATGTTGACGCAAATTTCTGCCTTATTGGGAATTAAAAAAGCAGTTTGGGGCCAGCTTTCAGAAATTTTTTCTCGAAGGTTTGTTTCTTTGTTTTTGTTGTTCGGTTTCTTTTTTTTTTTTTCAAGATTTCAAGCAAGCCTAAACCAGAAATTAAAAAGAGAATGAGAGATTTTATGAAGCACAAGAGTGTGTTGGTGAAGAACAACTTAATTTTGCATAGTAATTTTTCAACATCTAAGTATCGCTGATAGTATCTTAACTATTATACTACACACATACTGCATGCATCAATTACTCATAACATGCATTTGATTCTTTTTTTTATGACAAACATCACATTCAGTCAGTCAGTTAGAGCGTGTAAAAATGGGAAGGTGAAAAGAAAACGTTATTGGTCATTTCAAAGTAATAAACCAAGTACTCTATTTTATCATCTAGTTTACACAGGATGATTTTACGCTTGAAATCAGGACACAATACCTTCGCATAGTGCCACTGGATTTTGTTGGATTTCCTTGCATGAGGATCGAAATATATGGGTGCAAAGGTATTAAATGACCCGCTTTTGTGTTTGTTCTGTTCGGCCTTCCTCCCACCATGTCAAACTTTATATTGTTAACTTTATGCACAAGATTTGCGCCAGGGTGGTTTGTGTAAATGGTAAGTATCCAGGGTTTCTGAGAATGTTATAAACGCGGGAGGGGAGGGGGGAGGGAATTGCATCGCCACAAACCACGGCCCATATTTTCAGAAGCTTTCCAAAAATGATTTCCCAACCGAAGATTCCAGTTATCCGATGTAAATGGTAAGTACACCTTATATATCTAAACTTAAACTTGTTGAACGTCCCTAGCGCTCGTCTGCCGATATAACTAAATCGTAACGAACCCTTTATGTTCTTATCTTCTTTTCTTTTTATAGCAAAGAAACAAAAATTGTGCAGCGTCGATAATGGTGGATGTTTACAACAATGTATTCAGCATTCTAAGTACTGCATTTTTGGGAAATGTTTCTTTAGCTGTAGCATCGATTCCCTTTGTACAAAGTGGGTGGAATGCAAATGTGATCCTGGATACAAACTGCTCAAGGACAAAACAAACTGTGCAGGTAATGAAGGCTTCGGAGTTCAGCACCGTAGAATAAAAATGATATAGTCTAAAAACAGTGATATCACATATACTTTAATTTGTGAAACTTTAATACTTTAAATAATAACGTCACAGGCTAAGCTAGTGAATCACACCAATGGACACTTTGGATTTTTTTTTTCCTTTCTGATAGACGTAAACGAGTGTGCCACCAATAACGGAGGCTGCGATCAGATCTGTAACAATACAAAAGGAAGTTATGAATGCAACTGCCGCAGTGGTTTCTTGCTCTCTAGCGATAAACACAAATGCAACGGTAAGTCAAAAAATAGGGTCACAACAGCAATATCTGGTACACTTGTGGCACAATCTATCTTCTATATCTTCCTATATTGAACAATAAGGGGCACCTAAAGACAATTTCCTCCAAAATACATTAAAAACAATTCTAGACTATCCAGAGCACTTTTAGATCTCTAAAACTGCATTCTAAGCGGCGCCATAAAATTTGTATCTGTTCGGTCATCCTAGGGGAACTTGAGTCTGTTCAAAATTACTAGGGCTTCAGTATCATTTTCCCGAAAATTTTAGAGGCAATTTTAAGTTATTACGAAAGTGAGAATTTTTCTGATTTCTCTCTCCATCATATTTTTGAATCCGAAGATTTCAGGTTTCCTTTTCTCTACTTAAAATAGCCTAACCTGGGGAGTGAAATGGGAAAAATTAAACTTCAGAAAATCGTAGGGAATTTATTAGAAAAGCTTCGAAAATTGTGCATGAATGAAACGGCCATCTAGAAATTTTTAGCCGTCCTCAAGTCACAGAAAATTCTCCGAACAGATACATAAAACAGTTGAAGGATGCCCCTAAACAATGGCTGATGAACAAAAGCGTATCAGCTTCGTATGAAGTGTTAAAAACCTACAGAAGCCTACTTTTCATCGTCTTGAGATGGCAGGGAAAGATTTACCCTAAAAAATCGTGCAAGACAGTTTTTGCGTAAAGCACTGTTATTCTAGACAACATTCAAACAGTCTTTAGTTTGGAATCTCATTCAAAATAAATGGCTAACAAAACAAAACTGGTCAATTTAATGGTAAAACATGGAAAACTTTAGGCAGAATCGTGATCCATGAAATAATCCAGACAGTTATTATAAGACTTATAACCGAGAATGTGTGAATAAAGGAAAAGCCATCCTCGCCTCGTTCCCTCCGGAATTCAATAACAATTGTCAATTTGCTTATAAGTGAACAATATCACCAATCAATCATAAAAAACAAGTAGTTGATAACCATCCTGCAAAAAGCAATGCATTCACCACTAGGCAGTCCGCGGTCACAAGGACATAAGCCTCGTTCCGGTACAAACACTCCACAGTTAAGAATATCAAGTACCATGGGTAAAAAGGAGTGGCATGCAAAGATCAGTCTTCATTTGAACCCCTAGCTGTAGTGTAAACACCAGAGATCAGTAGTCTTTTATTTACGTGCATCTGTTTACATGTCATATGTTTTATATTTTATTATTTGTTACGTTTTACCATTCTTTTTTTGTACCTGCTTGCGGCATGGCACAGATTTGGAAGAGTGCATTGTTAATAAAGGCGGTTGTAACCAGTTTTGCCATTATACCTTTGGAAGTTATTACATTGCTCGTGCAAAAATGGCTTTAAGCTTTCAGCAGACAATCATACCTGTAGTGGAAAGGTTATGCTCAAAATTGTCTTCTTTTAATTTACTTTAAACTCACATTCTTTAGATATTGACGAATGCGCTGTGAGTAATAGCGGATGTAGCCATGGCTGCCAAAATCTGCAAGGAACCTATCAGTGTACATGTCCAAAGGGATTTGAACTGGACGCAACGAAAAAGAACTGCACGGGTAAGACAATAGCCTAACAACAATCAAAAAACAGCACATCGTAAAATTCGTCACTGTACCCTTTGAGAAGGTAATAAAACATTTTTAATAGCAGAAATTCTAAACAGTCGTTTAGAGCATGGCACTTGGCAGTCGCGAACGCTTTTACAATTACTTTATTACTCCCTTTTGTGTTTCAACTTGTGTATTACGCTATGCTCAACTTGGCTTCGATTACAGCCGGGCAGTACGGTAGCCCACTACGGTGGCCCACAACTGTCACGTCAAATACAAATTACTCACATCAAATACAAATTACTCACATCAAATACAAAATCCTGATATCAAATACAAATTACTCACATCAAATACAAATTGCTCACATCAAATACAAATTACTCATATCAAATCAAATTACTCACATCAAATACAAAATCCTGACATCAAATACAAATTATTCACATCAAATACAAATTGCTCACATCAAATACAAATTACTCACATCAAATACAAATTACTCACATCAAATACAAATTACTCACATCAAATACAAATTACTCACATCAAATACAAATTACTCATATCAAATCAAATTACTCACATCAAATACAAATTACCCACATCAAATACAAAATCCTGACATCAATACAAATTACTCGCATCAAATACAAAATTCTGACATCAAAAACAAGATTAAACGGTCAGCGGTGATATCACATCTGACTTTAATTTGCGAAACTTTAATACTTTAAGTAATAGCGTCACCGGTTAAGCTAGTGAATCACACCAATGGACACTTTGAATTTTTTTCCTTTCTGATAGACGTGAACGAGTGTGCCACCAATAACGGAGGCTGCGATCAGATCTGTAACAATACGAAAGGAAGTTATGAGTGCAAATGCCGCAGTGGTTTCTTACTTTCTAGCGATAAACACAAATGCAACGGTAAGTAAAAAAAAAATAGGGTACAACAGCAATACCTACATTTGTGGCACAATCTATCTCCTATGTCCTCCTATATTCAACAATGTCTGAGGAGCAGAAAAGTGTCAGCCTCGTATGTACTGGTAAAAATCTCCGGAGTTCGGTCGTTTCGATACAAAATCGTTTTTGTTTCGATACGAACTCAAGCAGTGATATTGCACAAAAATTTCGATCACTTCAGACCTCCAGAAGCCTACTCTTGACTAATTTTCATCGTCTTCAGATGGAAGGGAGAGATTTCCCCAGCTAAACAATCGTGAGAGAAAGTCTTTGCGTAAGCAGTCTTATTCTAGGAAACATTCAAACAGTCGTTAATTTGGAATCTCATTCAGAATAAATGGCATACAAATCAAAACTGGACAATTCAATGGTAAAACATGGAAGACTATAGACAAAATCCTGATCTTTGAAATAATCCAGGAGGTCATAGTAATCGAGAGTGTAAATGATGGAAAAGACATCCTGGCCTTGTTCCCTCTAGAATTCAATAACAATTGTCAATTCAGTTTTAAGTGAACAATAGCCTCAACAATTAACAAAAAACAACTACTGTAATTGATAATTATCCTGCAAAAAGTAATCCATTCATTACGAGACAGTCCGCGATCCGATACAAACACGTGACAGTTTAGAATATCAAATACCAAGAAAAGAGAAAGATACCAAGTAAAAATAAGTGGCATGCAAAGATCAGTCTTCATTTGAAATCCCAGCTGTAGGGTAAACACTAGAGTTCAGTGGTCTTTTATTTACGTGTATCTATTTACATGTCATATATTTTATCTTTTCACTATTTTGCTAATTTTTACCATTCTTTTTTTATACCTGCTTGCGGCATGGCACAGATGTGGATGAGTGTAGTGTTAATAAAGGTGGCTGTAACCAGTTCTGCCATAATACCTTTGGGAGTTATTATTGCTCGTGCAAAAATGGCTACAAGCTTTCAGCAGACAATCATACCTGCAATGGTAAGGTTATGCTCAACATTGAAGTTAGTGGTAGAGTGAAAATTTTTGACAGCTGTCATATTGTGCATTTCTTAATAGTTATTTCACTTTCAATAAAAATAATTGATGGTATTTAGCAGTTTTAACCAGCTCACTTTCCAAATCCGTATAATTTTCACGACCTGGTTGTCCATAAGGTGAATAGTCCTTTGTGGTGCATTCCCGCAGTGCGGTGAGATAGACGTTGTACTGTTCTATATCGATCGTAACTGCATCGATGAGCTATAAGTGCTGATCGAAACTATGAATACGAAGTTGCAGTTAGAGGTAGAAAGAAAAACACTCCTTTTTCTTCTTGTAGAAGGGAAAACCCTTTAGCAAGTGTGTCCTTATCATTACTTTCATTTTGAGGAAAGGAGAGCGTAACGTTGTAATTACTTTAAACTCACATTCTTTAGATATCGACGAATGCGCGGTAAGTAATGGCGGATGTAGCCATGGCTGCCAAAATCTGCAAGGAACCTATTTGTGTACGTGCCCAAAGGGATTTGAACTGGACGCGAGGAAAAAGAACTGCACGGGTAAGACAATAGCAAGTCTAACAACAATAATAAAAAAGCACATCCTTCAATTCGTCACTGCACCCTTTAAGAAGGTAATAATACATTTTTAATAGCAGAAATTCTTAACAGTTGTTTACTCTAACACTCTGTTTTGTGTTTCTACTGGTATTACGCTATATGCTCAACCTTGCTTCGATTAATGCCCAGAACATGTAAAACAATTACGATAAAAAACTATTCAATAATTTTGAAAATCATGTATCTTTATTGCGCCGTAAATCATCAAAATGAAAAAAAATTAAATGGTCACGAATGTCGTATATTTGAACCCGAGGAATGAAGAAATAAATACATTAAGAAGGCCAATATCTGAGAACACTGCCCTTTAAAAATCTATTTTCCTTTGCTTACAGATACAAATGAATGCTTGCTTGCGAACGGTGGCTGCCAAACTCATTGTACCAACACTAACGGCAGCTATTATTGCTCCTGTTTACCTGGATTTGAGTTATACGATACACTCAGGTGCAGAGGTAAGACAACAGAGGTATAAAAATATCTTTTCAGAAAATCTCTAAGAGACAAATAGGATTACACAAAAAGAGCCTTGTCAGAAAAACAGCCCTATTCTTTCCCAAAAGCTTTACTTGATAAGTCCAAAAAATAATCCATTGTCTTGATATATAGCTCCCATACAGTGTAACTTGTGTCATCTCGTCGTAACGAAAATCTCTAAGGCTAAGGCCAAATGTTGAACTTTTCAGCTGTGGGTTAAAGGGGCTGTGTCATGGCGGTCTAGTTCATTTTTATTATTTAACAATTATTGGACGAGGTTAAGCAAAATATCGTGATTTGTCAGTCGCGAGCAGATCAAATAATTGATCTGCGAGACACTGACAAATCACTATATTTTGCGATTACCGAGTTCAATAATTGTTTATCATTCGATCACCAAGTTTATTATTAATGAATATCTTCTGGAAGCGAAGCGATCTGCCATTTTTCACGCAAGAGCGATCGCAAGAAGGAGAAAAGCGTGGTTCGTTTACGCATTAGCAGGATATCATTTGCAGCCAAACACAGTTGGACGACGTGCATGAACAGATCATTGTCTGTAGGCAGTTATTTGAGGGGCACGTGGTGGGATTTCAGCCAATGAAAAGGACGAAAAATTTGCATCGAATGATAATGCCAATTATGCGTCCTTATTCGCTGGTGAAGAAACTAGTTGTTAAAATAAAGAAAGACACGTTTTCAAAAGCCACAATCCCAACCCGTTTTAATCTACTTTAAATTTTGTCCATCCCTACTTTTTTTGTATTTTCCTCGTTGTTTATAAATGTACCTTCTTTAAACGTTTGAGTGGAAAATCATGCTTGTAAGGGAGTGGAACCCTTCACCACTGCGATACCATTGCAGCGCTCTTCCAATTGAGCTAACAAGCCAATTGGGAGAAGCTCATTTAGTTTCTTTGTTACAAACTCAATGAAAGGATGACGATGAAGTAATAAATATAAGTTTATGATTAGTTCTACTTTTTTCTCAGATTAATTTGGGTTCGCTAGAATGAGTTTTGACCGACAAACATGTTCTGTCCGTCTTCTTTAGACTTTAAAAGCACTCAGCCATAGGAAGATATGAGGTTTGATGACACCATTTTATTTTTAGACATAGACGAATGCTCTCATAACAGCGACAACTGCAGCCGATCATCAACTGACTGCCAAAACTTTCAAGGAGGGTACGAGTGCAAATGCAAGTCGGGCTACAAATACATTCAAGGAGATAAATTTAACTGTGAACGTAAGCATGCCATGTATTTTTAGTGACTAAAAAGTTAAAGTGTCCTTATATTACGGCAGTAACTCGTGTTATCATCTCAGTAACAAACGTGAGGCCAACGGTGTGCTTCCCCCACTCTCTTCACAAGGATTTGAGGTCACACCTGGAGATCGAACATGGAACCTTCCGCACAGAAGACCGTGCACGAACCAACTGTACCAGTCCTTGCTCCAACTTGACTTTGACCTCATTACATTTTATTTTACATTATATTTCAACAAACAAATCATTCTTTATTTATTTATTTATTTACTTATAGTTCGGTCTTGCCCACCCCTGGTGGAAGTAGCGGGAACTTCTGTCAGCCCGAAAGATTGTTTGGTAGTTGGTGCAAGGAAAGTTAAGGACACCTGTACCTTCAGTTGTAAGGAGGGGTACAAGCTTCCAGACCCCAATCAACCTACCTTGACCTGCCTGGATACTGGGGACTGGGATAAGGCTGTTATAAACTGTCAACGTGAGTAATGAAAAGGAAAATATTTAGTTATTTGCAGAAGTTTAGATGTACGCTGTCTGAATATGTACAAGCTAAACTGTTTAATACCATAAAATATTTATTAACAATATATTCTGATAGCAAAAATTCAAACCTTATTGTAAACAATGAGTATACAAGCAAAAACATAATAATACTCTGTCTGGCTAAAAGAGAAAATGATAAGTACATTTAAGGGAAAGTAAAACAGTAATCGGAGCATATCAGTCTTCGTAATGATGCTCTTTTTTCTGCTCATTAATTTAATTTCAAATTCTTTTACTTATTGTAAAATTAATGTCAGTTTGGCATTTGATCCCGAAAGTTAGGGATCCAAATGATTAAATGTATTTCTGAGCTTTATTTCACCATTTTCTAGGCAAGAGCTGCCCTGCATTACCTCCAATTCAAGATGGATTACTTATCCCAGCTTTCTGTGCGGTGACTGGGAATTTTTTTAACCAGTCCTGTCAGTACTCTTGCAATCAAGGTTACCGTCTAAATGGAATCTCTTCTCGGACCTGCCAGGCTAACGCTGAATGGGATGTTAAGGCAATTCCTAAGTGCGATAAAGGTAAAATAGACCTTGTCACAGTTTTCGACGCCATCTGGACGAGTAGGCAAACGTGTCAGAAATTACAGTGTTTGTATGAGAATCTGATGTCGAACAATTTCCGTAAAACGGCTGCTCTTAATAAAATATGACTTGTAAACTAAAGCTTCAAAACAAAGAATTGTATTAAGAAAATTTTGGGGCGTACCTGTGCTTAAACTTCTCCAGAGACTTGCTTTAGATTTTCCGTATATTTGTCTGTAATTTTTCCCGGGGCTTTCTTACAGACAAATGTATAGAAAACTTTAAAAAGTAGTTCTAGGTCTTCTAGCGCATGTAACGCCCTTAATTTTTTCAGTAGAATTCTTAGGGGTGAAGCTTTGGTTTACAATTCATATTTTTTCCAGAACAGCCGTACTACGGAGATTATTCGACATTAGATTCTCATACAAACACTGTAATTTCTCACGCGTTTGCCTACTCGTCAAGATGGCGTCGAAAAGCGTGACAAGTTCTATTAAACGGACCCGATTGGACGCTAAATGGGTTATTTGTCCACCTTGAGAAAATTCAACATCATTAAGAATAAGTAGAAGGAGCATGATCGTCGGGGTGAGCGTAGTCCTGAATAGGAAAGTTGTTGACAGTCACTGACAACAACAGTCCTGTTCTGGGCTACTATGCTCACCCGGGTGATCATGTTCCATAGGTGCAGGGGCCGTCCACCTTTAGAGTATTTACACTGATAAATGGATCATTCATGCACCACTGATCTTTCGATCGATGCTGTACATCCAGCCTCTTACGGTTACCAGAGCGTTGTGTAATTCCAAATATTAGCATACATATTCCTTTGTTTGCTACGACTTTTTCTCCTCAGCGTCGTTTATTTCAAGCTTGTTAACGTACGGCACTCTCTTTGGCACGAAACCATCGCGTAGATGAATCGTTTTTCCCTGACAGTCGCTGAAAACTTTTTTATTGTAAGCTAAAAGTCCTGCAGTTGTGACTTAAAGATGATGACAAATAGAGAGCATGCGATGAATGGCCTGACTTCCGTCATCCTGAGAGGGTACAATATGCAATACAGCATTTGGCGGAAAGTTGAGTTGACCTGCTGCTTGGTCTTTAGAAAGAAATAAGCTAAAATTACCTCAGGTTTCAATATTACGGTAGTTTAGCTGGAGGTCAATATTCAGAGACAATGCTATTAAGGTTCGTCTGATTCATTTTATTTTACACATTTAAATCACAGTTTAACAATTACAGATTCTCTTGAATACTTCATTATAGTTATTGCTGTATGGAATGTGTGTGACGGCCAAAGTATCATCTGCTTTCGAGCTGGCCACCACCTACTTTTGAATATATTAACATAAACGATGTTGAAGACAGAGTCATTAACGGTATGCTGAACGAAATCTCCTATGATTTTTTTTTTCAGTGTACCCGAAGCCTTGGATCTCATGCCCTGACGATGTCATCGTCGATCTCGCTCCAAATAAGAATACCTATGACATTACTGCACTGCTTGGGCAACCTCAGTCTAATGTGCCGAATATTCAATTGTTTCCAGAAGAGCACCGTAATAGCCTGGTTTTTCCATACGGTCTAACCATACTCACATACGTCGCCAGCAATGAAGTTGGTACTACCGCAAATTGCACGACAAATATTATTGTTCAAGGTAAGCATGGGCGCGAAAACTATCAGAAAAGTTGATATAAAATCGATTTTAAAACCTTCAAATGATTTTGGAGAATTACTGAAAACCAATTCACATCATAATTAAGTGTTTTCTGTCCTAGCCCGAGTACGGTTCGTTCACGTTCCAAAATGGATAATGTGCGAGGTTTTCTATTGGAGGGTTTAAACTGTATTACCATGTTACACATGACGTTCTATGCTCAAACTTCTAGGCCTTCTACTTTCACATTTTCACTTTACAACACGTCCTTTCAATGATATATAGCCTGCGGGAAGGAAGACGGGGAATTCGGGCGAGGGAAGGGTAGGGTTATGCTTGCCTTGTCCCTGTACGACGTTTTCCCAGTCCCTCTCGGTCAATTCACTTCCGAGACGAACGGTCCCGAAACACTTTAGTCGCGCGGAATAATGAGGCCCACCGACTAGGCAATTAGAGCACGGTGGCCAGATGAAGTATTGCTTCTTCTCAGTACATAAGAAACATACTAGAAGAAAAGAATACCAGACAATATGGACCGTTGTATCCATCTTATAACCAAGAATGTTCCAAATAGCTGTTTATTCAGGAACATCGGAGAAGTCCACATTCAGTGTATGCGTACTTTTACCAGTCCGTTGTGACACATACTGGTCCTCTTTTGTCCTTTTTTTTTTTCTTAATTGCAGCTTATCTTACTTGATTTGCTTTACATAGCATTTTCTCCATGCACACTAACAATTTCATCTCTTACATAGATAAGCAACCACCTAGCGTTGTCTATTGTCCTGACAACATTTATCAGTTGATAGTGGGTTCGACCGCAAGTGTAACATGGAAACTGCCAGAATTTTCGGACAATGTTAAAGTGGTTAAAGTCACATCAACAAAAAATCCCGGAGACACCTTCCAACTGGGATCCACAAACGTTAAATATGATTCTTTTGATGACAGTGGTAATACCGTGAGCTGCACCTTTTCTGTGACGCTCAAAGGTGAATGTGTTGATAGTTTACAATACCTACATCGCTATGTAATGAAGCCAGTAGTTCCATTTTAAACAAAAATAATAACAACAACAACACCTAGAAAATGCGATTAACTGAAGTTGGATTTCTTGCAAGAAGTAAATCTAAAGTGGTTGAGGTGGACAAATTTTGCTCTATAACAGGAAAACGGATCCTTTACTATAGAAACCCCTCATAAGTAAAAAATTTGAAACATGACAGAATGTAATCTGTTCAATATCATTAATCCAAGTCTACCATGGAAAGTTCTTTAAACGAAATAGAATGAACTTGGGTCATGGAAAATGCCTCCTTACCTTAGCATGGTATGTCCCGTACGATACTTTAGTCAGCAGGAATCTAGTCCAAACTGCACTAAGTGCCCGCCACAAACCAGCACCAAAACAAATGGCTCAAAAGCGTGCACCGGTGAGCAAATACATGTACAGATGTTCTTAAAAAATCTAATGAAGATGCACGAAGGTTTCAGTAAAAAGGAGAATATATCAAAATAACACAATCGTAAGAAATGCACTACCAGCGAAGGTCTTTGAGCTCTGGTATCATGAAGCTACATGCAATTATAAGATGCTGCAGCCGTTATGATCATCTCGTGATTATTGTCGCCTGCCTAGATTTTGTCCCAAATTCAGGAGCGAAAAGCAATTTTTCAAAGTAATTTTTCCTTTTTGAATACTCACTAATTGGACTGAACGACGCCTTACTATTTTGTCACCATAAAATCATTGTTCTCCATTAAGAAAGCCTTAGCATAGCGAAATGAACCGGTTTGAATTTAAAGCCTAAGCGGTATGACCATCCCAAACTTTCCACCACGAACGTTTAACAAGAACTTTCTAACTATTTTACATTAGTAAAATCCAACTAGTGGTCTATTATCAATGCTACGTTCTGATTGGTTGAGCTACTGCTACGCTATATGTTACAGCCAACTAGTAGCGAAAAGCGCCGGATTTTTGGAGGCAAAAAAGGATTTAAGTCCAGCTTTAAGTTGTTTTGTCTCCATATTTTTGACCAACTAGTTGGATTTTACTAAAACAATAATTGTTAATTAGCCATTCGCTGTACTGTTTCATTTGTTCTATAACTATTTATTTTTTGCTTTTTTTTGTTGACCTTTTGGTTTGTTATTTAAACAGCTAAAAAGTGCGAGAAACCTGCAAATCCAGATAACGGAGTACTCAAGTGCGAAAATTATGGGCAAATGATGTTCTGTACAACTACCTGCAATCCTGGTAAACAGCCATTCCAATACACATTTGGCTCAATCTGCAGTCAATCAACTTTAAAATGGCAGCCGATACCGGATTGTGTGGGTGAGTATAGTTAAGTGGGTAACCAGTAACTTGCCACGTAATTTGCTTTTGCCAATTGCCCGATTATACACAAAATGAAACCCAGACTAGATGAGTCACTCTAAATAACCAATTAAGACTAAAAACTATGTCGTGAAAATTTTACTTTCGCTTACTGGTTTATTTGTTTCTTTGATAAAAATATCTTTAAAAGAAATAAACAATAGAAAACCATATATTCAGGAAAGTTTATTTCTACCTTCTTCATGCCTTCGTCTTCGAGAAGGTCCTAGACGTATTTCAGAAAGATAGGAAAACCTGTCCGGCTGCGGGATAAGCTTTATATTTTATAATTTACCTTAAAGAAAAAATTACTGCCAATGCAAATTGAATGGCTGACATTGAACGATGAATCTACTATTGTACTATTTTATAGACGCTGTTCTTCTGCCTGACAGCGGAGTTTGTCCTGATGGAAAAATAAAGCAAGGCACCTTAGCGTCAATGGAAAACTATATCAAATATTGTGGTGGGTAACAAATCATCTGGGCCCTCGTGGAAAAGTCTTTTGCTACCCGAAATGGTGTGGTTTTGGTCACTTTAATACCGTCATATTGCATTTTTCTTTTTTTACAGTGAGTTGTCCTCATGGAATGAAATATGATAATGCACTGAAAGATTGCGTGGTATGTCCCGTAGGCTACTTTAGTCAGCAGGAATCTAGTCCAAACTGCACTAAGTGCCCGCCACAAACCAGCACCAAAACAAATGGCTCAAAAGCGTGCACCGGTGAGCAAATACATGTACAGATGTTCTTAAAAAATCTAATGAAGATGCACGAAGGTTTCAGTAAAAAGGAGAATATATCAAAATAACACAATCGTAAGAAATGCACTACTAGCAAAGGTCTTTGAGCTCTTATATGATGAAGCTACATGCAATTATAAGATGCTGCAGCCGTTATAATTACCTCATGATTATTGTCGCCTGCCTAGATTTTGTCCCAAATTCAGGAGCGAAAAGCAATTTTTCAAAGCAATTTTTCCTTTTTGAATACTCACTAGTTGGACTGACTATAAAACGACGCCTTACTATTTTGACACCATAAATTCATTGCTCTCTATTAAGAAAGCCACTCAATTTAAAGGAACTCAAATTAACTCAGCTTTATTTAGATTTCTAGTAAAGAATCATTCAACGAATTTTTGACTGAGTTTCCGCTTCATCATTGAATATGCGTTTGTCAGATTTGTGCGATAAAGGAGAGTCGTCTGCCGATGGATTTGACAATCCTAATCATGACGCCTGCCATCTGTGCTCCATGGGTTTCTATCAGGATCAGTATGGTGCTACGAGCTGCATGCAATGCCCCAGTGGATTAACAACTAAAGCAAAGGGTTCCATCACTCGGGACGATTGTGGAAGTATGTGTCGATATGTTATTCTTGAGCTTTTTGTACTTTAAGCATATTTGTAACCGGCTTTTTTTGGTTTTCTGAGAATACGGGGAAGGGGAGCAAATCCTCTGCCCACCTTTACCACCACCTAGCTACATTCCGTAATTCTAATAAGCTTTATTATTCATTCAAAATATTTCCCCAATTATGATTGGCTTAAAGCACACGCAAAATTCACCATAACCAGTTACTGATGACCAAATTTGGAAGAATTGTGTGTTTAACGAGGAAATGACGTCAAAAATGCAGCCCGCTACAGGTTAGGGCACCGTTACCGAGAAGACATGGGGACGAGGTTGAGTTGTTAGGGTTGTGAAAAAAAAAATGGGGAACATTTCACTCGTTTTTGTTACCCTTATCGATCTGCTTAATTCTTCATATACTACAAAAGCCGAATTCATTAATTGCTTTATTATTCATTCAAAATATTTCCCTGATTATGATTGGCTAAAAGCACACGCATAACTCACCATAACCAGTTTCTGATGACCAAATTTGGAAGAATTGTGTGTTTAACGGGGAAATGACGTCAAAAATGCAGCGTTCGTGCTGGTTAAGGCACCGTTAACCGTGAAGACCTGGGAACGAGGTTGAGTTGTTTTGATTGTAAAAACGAAAAATGGCGGACATTTCACTCGTTTCAAGAGTAAGAACTAGGCCAAAAAATAGCTAAAAACATGGCCAGAACAGCAAGAAGACAACTTGAAGGACGACATCTGCTATTTGGAGAATATTTGCGGAGCTGGACAAACCTAAACGTGCACTATCGAAGATGAACTTAACATCGATGGATCGATGGAGGTAAGCATGTTTTAGCCATGTTTTTAAACTAGGAATTATCTTGAATGAATAATAAAACAATTATTGAATTCGGCTTTCTTATAATATGAAGAATAACACCCTCCTCGATCTCCATAATTCCTCATAAGATAATTAATTGTTAAGTTATTATTCAAGTTGGAGCCGGGTTCGTCTCGGTCCATAAAAGAATATAAAGAACTTCGCCTATAGCCAGCCGTCTTGGCGCACCAAGCTTGGTCGATAACAGATTTAATCTAGTTTTTCTCGCACAAACAAAGCTGGCAAGATAGGCCCATCTTGCGTGCTCCAATAGCCAATCAGAATAAAGGATTCTCTCTATCTTGCTCGCTTGCGGAGACAGCTGTCAAGCAATAAAACTTCTGCATTTAACAAACCTTTAACCACCAGGATTTAGATTTAGATTTTAACTCTCTTTGACTAAAAAAGACAGCTCCGAAAACGAACATTGACTGCCAGGCCAACAGGTGCCTGGCAGGATTAAACTCACTTCTGTTTAGCGAACTCAGGCAGATGAGTTACTGGCTGCCAAATTTCTATATGTACCGACCGGCTCCCTGTTTGCCTTTGTAACTGCCTTACTGTGGATTCCTTATGCCCACAGCCATTCCCTCAGTTTCTTCTTTTGGACCACCTTCCATGGCAATCAGCGTGAGTGAGAACGGCAGAGCGGAGTTTGTGTGCATGGGATCTGGACCCCCGGCACCCACCTTCCTGGTTAAAAAAGTAAAACCAGTACCAGGTAAGTTTATTTATTTATTTATTTTTATTTTTTCGCTTATAGTTTAGCATCTTTTATTAATATAACCAAGAAACCTGTAGGCAAGGTACGATGGGGACAAGGCCGCCAGATGAGTAAAGCATAACCACACAGCCACTAGGTTGTCCTTCGCAAGGACTACGCCTAATGTCAGTCTCTATAAGTTGCATCAGGAGCTGCATATAACTAGAAGGAGATCGTATTAATCAACTTCTCTATGTTAAACCATAAACCTAGGAGTTTGAATTCTGTGATCTTGTCCAAGAGAGGTACTTTCCGAGACACACGAAGTGACGTTTAATCACCACGTTAATTAACCAGAAAACTTTTTTTTCTTAATTTTTCTTTTTAGATGGATTCGGTGGACCTCTGAAAGTAGACGAAATAAAGTCGGGTAATGTTGTGACAGGAATACGCTACGTCATACTCAGCACAACAGAACACGATAAAGGACTGTACTCCTGCACGGTTACTAACAAGTTTGGCTCTGATACCAAGTATCTTAACTTGTATGTACATGTGCATGTGGATTCCGGTGGGAATGGTTCTGGTTCAGGTAAGGGTGGGATAAATATACGTGTTTATTACTGTAGCAAAGGAGGCACTCCCAAAAGCAACGAAGATGCTCGTCGGAAAATTAGAATTGAACCCCTGACAACGACCAATCTGGGTACGGCTTAGGCTATAGTAGCTTCAAAAGTAAAAAAAATAATTGGTTTTCCGTCCTGAACAATCTACGTGAGACCAAAATCTGCAATTTCCTTTCTTCAGTCCCCGCGCAAAGCATGCCTTACATTAACATCAGTACATGTACGACTAAGAAACGTTCTACACGTAAATTGTGTACAAATTAAACCGACTTGACTCTCGACTTAACAAGATCAATTTTTGTCACTTTACTCCGTAAATTCTTCAAAATTACTCTGTATTCTTCTCCACAAAATATCAGTTTCTTTCCTTTTAAGAAAAATTGTGTCTAGTATGTAAGGTTATTTTTAATTTGGAAAGACATTAAGCGTCCTTAGTTCCCGTTGTCTTCGACTGCCGAGTGCTGATAATAAAAGGGCCGAGAATTTTGATGAAGAACACTTTTGGGCTTTAAGTGCTAATGGTATTCAAATGTGATTTATTATACAATGCCTTCATTTTACAAGAAAAGCTTAAACAGAAGAGTTTTTCACAGTAGCTTCACGGCTTCTGAATATATTCCACTTTTTTCTATCAAATTATTGTTTCAAGGTCAAGTAGAAAATGATAACCTTTTTAGATGAGTGGCTTAGGATATGTGGTATAGAAACTGTACGAATAACATTGATTTTAATTGTATGTGTGCTTTCTTTATAGGTGCTGGGCAATAGGCAAAAATAACGATGAAGCAGATCGTGGGAGAATTAAATTATTTGGGATATTTCCTTCCAGACCTATCCAATCGAACAAAACCGAACAAAAAACCAATCGAACCCAATCGAACTCCAATCTTTCGATTGGGTTGGGCAATCGAACAAAATCGAACACCTACTTTGCTGTGAGTTCGATTTTCGAACCAATCGAACCAATATAATCGAACAAAATCGAACTAATCCAATACCACGTGCCTATCATGCGATGCGGCGTCCGTTAATCGAACGTTCGATTATACCAATCGTTCGGTAATCGAACGTTCGATTGGGTTCGATTACCAATCGTTCGGTAATCGAACGTTCGATTGTGTTCGATTGGCAAAATTTTATTGTGAATTCGATTATGTTCGATTGAGTTCAGCAATCGTACGATTGGTGTTCGATTGGGTTCGATTGCCGAACTGTTCGATTGGATAGGTCGGGTTACTTAGGACTTCCACTTTCATGATGTGTTTTACTGAAGTACAGTAGTCTAGAAACGATTAAGGCAGTACGTAAGCCATCAAGGTTGTAAGTGATTTGAAAAGATAATTGAGCAATAAAATGCATCCAGACCGAATATTCAAAACTGTTATTATGGTGCTTTCCAAACAAATGAAATGAGAAGTGTACGTGGCCACTTAATGCAACTGCGCTTTTTTTCTTCAGAGAATCTAGTAAAACGCAACAAAGAGCTGATGCGGATCGAAACGCCAAAGACTAAGTGGCCCGAAATGTTAATTTAGACAGCAAATGGAAAAGGAAGAGGCCTTTACTAAAACGCATCCAAAGCAAGCAATTTCTCGACCGCTCCTCCTGCAGGGGCACCCAACATCAAATTTCGAAAATATCTCTTCGGAGTTCAGAGATCTAGAATTTTCGGAACATTTGTTGTAAAATTTCTTGCTTGCCTGCCTCTCCTAAAAAATGGTATAATTGCCCATTTTTTTGCCCTAAAAAGGTCACCTAGAACTTTCGGAAGCCTTTTTTCTGGCTGAAATTTTCGAAAAGGTCAGTGTTGACCCCTATAATTTTCGTATCACTAGACTTTCAGCTAGGAAATCCGAGCAGATGAAAAATTTTTAGGGGATATGCCATGTCTACCATTTAAATTCTAAAATACGTTTGACAATGCTATTTTTAAGTGGTTTTTGAGCTTTATTCTCGTTGGGTGCCCCTGCTCCTAAGACGGTGCCTAATGCGCGTCATCATGCATAGGAAGAGAAGGAAACTGGAGCAAAAATTGCGTGTTAGTAAATTTGAAAATGACTATCTACAATACACTGAGCAGTGCCGCTTAAGACCAGGGTAGGGTTAGGGTTAAGGTTAGGGTTTAGGGTTAGGGTTAGGATGACCTACTTTGCCACCATTATTGAGATTAGCGAGGGCGACCAACGCAGCTTGTTTCAGTCCATTGACCATCTCTTGAACTGCAAAGCTGTTCCCCGTTTTCCATTAAGTTCCCCCGACCTAGAACTTGCTGAAAGTTTCAAGAATTTCTTCGCAAATAAAATTGAGCCCATTCGTGCGCGTGTGATTGCTGTGACAACGCCTCCCAGTTAAGAGATTTGTTGTGACGATAATCTCCATGAATTTACAAATTTTCGACAGGTAACGTCCAAGAAAATATCAGATCTTATTGGCTGTGATGTCTATCCTGTCCTGCGCCTGTATTGAAACCTTGTCTGTCTGTGTTAACACCAGTTATCACTAAAATTGGAAATCGTTCTGTGGCCACAGGTTTCATACCTCAGTGTCTCCAAACTGTACGCAAATTCGACGGTTGCTCAAGAAGAGTAGTCCTGACTCTGGAAACTTCAAGAACTTTAGACGAGTGTCTTCCGTTTATTTCTAAAGTCATTGAGGAAGTTATCTGCTTTCAGCTTAATTGCCAACTATATTGAAACTAACAACCTGGGTGAAACCTATCAATCGGCTTATAAGAGTCTTCATAGCACGGAAGCAGCCCTACTTAGAGTTCATGATGATATTTTGGGAGCGATTAAAAACAACAGATCTGTTGCCTTGTTTTAAGGGACATCTGTCAATAAGGTTGGTAATATAACCAGATGCGAGTCCATTCAGTGCCTTGTATGTAGTTACCAATTCAAGATTTTGAAGACAATGCGTTGTTTGATGTAGCCTACGTGCCAGAGGTTTCTTCTCGTGTGTGACGAGGGGCACTGCCTTTAATACCAAAGCAGAATTCAAGACGATGTAACAAAATTCCGTGGTCGATTCGGTCAAAGTCAGCTAAGAGATTAGGTAACGCGATCCCTACGATCCTCTGATCAGTTGTTCACTGAAAGTTCCAAGTACAAACACCGTTTCGTTTGCAGACCGTGCATTCAGCGTTGCGGCGCCAAAACTGGGGAATTCTTTAAAAAAACTTTAAAAAAAATTATTATTATTATTATTATTATTATTATTATTATCATCATCATCATCATTATTATTATTGTTGAAATGCTATTCTTTTACATTAGTTTAGTATTTGACGAAGTCAATACAAAAACAGGTATTAAAACATAGTATCAATGGCGCAGAAAATTGAAATAAGCAAATAATCTGATACCCACTTGGGTCTGTGTTTACTTAAATTCATCATTGCAGTTCCTTATAAAACGCGCATACCGTACGTTGTTGATAGTTTTTGCTCCATGCGTTACATTCTAAGAACCTGCATGCGACGGCTTCACCAGATTAAACCTTGCACTATAAAGGAGTATGTTATCTTGTCGTAAGTCACTTTCAGAAAATTTCTAAATCAAACGTAAAGGCTTTCGAAGAAAAGAGGCGCATTTTGCGTCGTTTTTCTGGTTCTGATTGTTTTAGTTCAAGGGGAAGAACGTAACCTTGGCGAGGACTGTTTTATCCAATGAGTCTCATTTTTTGGTACAAGAAAAAGGGACGAAGATACCTCTGAAAATCATTTCCTGTTTTGCTTTCAACCCTCCTGGAATAAGGAACCTTCCGATTACTTTCTCTCCAAAACAGTCGTAGTCACCGGGCAGACAGATTCGGTAACAAATACACTGTTATCATCGAGCTAAAGATAGAAAAGTAATTTATCGTAATTTATTTAGCTTTTTTTGCTCAGCCGTTATTTTTTTTTCGCACAGTAGGCCATTTTACGGTTTTGCATGGACGCGAGGCTGACGGTGACTTTGTTTCAGATACAAACCTTCGTGCCTCATTATGCAAATCAAGTTATTCTTATGGTAGCTATTATTTTTTCAAGGGCAATTTCCATAACAAAGCAAAGGAGATTTGTATCAAAACAAGATCACGTACCGTCAACCTGAATAAATTACTGTAGCCCGACAGGTTTGGCAGCTTACCAAAATAGACACAATATCGCGAAAGAAAATGAAATAAGCGTTTGTACTGATGATCAATCAGATATATTCACTTTGTAAATTTGTGCATCAGAGATGCTAAACTTGTGCTATGCAGCAGAATTCCTGAAAGTACATCTACAGGATTAGGGAAAGTTGAACAATCCTCCCAAGGAAGAAAGGCAGTGTAATTCTTCGCAATTTGGCCTCAGCAGATGTCTAAATCAAATATGTATACCACTTATATAATGGCAAAGAAAAGGGGCATAAATATTGCCGTTATGATATGTCTTGTCTTGTTTTGGAAAAACACGCTAAGCGAAGGTAGCAGCTCTGGTGAGTAAATCTTTTCTCTATTCTTGGTTTGCAACCACGTGACGAGGCGGCCATGTTGGGGGTCAAAACAAAAGAATATTTCCTCGAAGAATTTACGTGAAAATAGAGTTTAGTTCCCGGAGGAGAGAAATGCTTTTGTTCTTGACCACCAACATGGCTGCCGTGACGTCACCTGCAAACCAGCAATTGTGGTATTTTGTTACACGTTACTTGCTTCCGCAAAAATTTCATTTGTCAAATAGAATATACCATGCGAAGGCCAAGCGAGGACAAAAAATTATTGGATAAGTCACAGTAGAGTATTTCACACTATTATAATGAAGTACAAAAAGTTTGGACAGACATTCTGTATTTCGTTACCTCCTATAAAATTATGTCTGAAACGGAATTAGGCTGAACGGAATATTAGAAACCTTCTGAATAGACAATAGCCTCGAAACGTGTGTTTCTTCCTCATCGAAAGTGCACGTTTCAGTTTGCTTTTTGTATTTGGCTCTGAAGTCTAGTCTCTACTCTCTTTTTGGGAAAATTGAATAAACAAACACAAACTGGTACTGTTTCAGAAATTCACATTCGTGATTGTGTACAACACTCAGATAAAACAAATGAATTGATATTTTAAATAAACTGCTTTCGATACTAGGAAAAACAAACCTAATCAGCTGTCGGTGTTCTGTGAATAATATAGACTGATTTGCTGCTATAGAAAATCTTAGTAAATATCGTAACTAATAATAAAATATCCGATAGCTTCCTGGGGCGTAGCCATGCAGGCATTTTTTCAGGTTAAACCCAGGAGGTTAATAATAATAATAATAACAACAATAATAAATAATAATTATTATTATTATTACTATGTTAATAATGATGATGATTGATATTTTGTTTGATACTTTTATATGGCAGAAATTTAACTCAAAAACTAAAAGCACAGAATGCGCGCTGATGAAGAATTTTAAAATAAGTATGAATAGAAAAAATGCTAGGTGTGCCGATAAAAGACTTCTATAAATAGATTTAGCATGAAACAGCTTTGTAAAGTGAAAAAGAAGCAATTCCAATGATTAATGTTAAAAATGAATTAAAATACTACTTTTAACCAAATCAATTTTTCGCTTGTCAATGTCCAACGTAAAAAGTAACTTGCAATATCTGTCTTTGACCCTGTAAAAGTGCACATTTGTTTAAAACGTTAGCACGGAAATACATTATGAATATGTCAAGTCCCTTTCCGAAAAAATAATGCCATTATCTGTATACTTGCAAGGAATGCTTGAGCGTCAGTGTCAATTATCTACTATCCGTCAAAAAAATGCAAGTATAACAGGCTTTTTTGTACAAAAATCTCTGATGACTCTTTTTCATATATGTGAGACAAAAGTAAACTCTTTATATGCACGCAAGAAAGCTTAAGATGATAGTGAATCTGTTGCTGACATCAATAAACGCATGTACGTTTTTACCCTCCTTATGGTACTCTAATTTATGATCTTTGGCTTCGCATGCTTTGGCTTCACAAGCGTCTCTGTAAATTTCACTTGAAAGCATAAAAGCATGTAGGAAGAAAAGCAGAAGGCCTGGGATAGACGTTCTAAGCAAGGGAGCCTGGGAAGTGCTCATAGACAGCGAAACAGCGACACAAGGGAACAACGTTAGTTCAAGCAATTTTGGTCGAGATTCAGTATGGAAAAGTAAACTACTCCCTGCGAACAGCCAGAAGTGTTGCGACAGCAGACTTTTGGTCCTAAAATGACCTATTTTTAGTTTGATCAAACTATTTTAACAACACGTGCTAACCTACACTAATTTCTGCTCAAATTCCTGTTTAGCCCGGGCTAAATGGCTTAAAGGCAGCTACGCCAGTGGCTTCCATAAACTGTTGCTTCCAGTCAACCATTCCAGATACGGCCTGGATCACTTAAGTACGATTTTCCAAAGTGTTTTAACACTTTGGAATGTAAGAGGCCCTAAAAACCTTTAATCATAAAATTAAACTGCTTGTGTGAGAAAACGTTCCTATGGCAATATAAAAATGTGTTTAAGGTGTTTCGATACAGTTTTTCAGAGGCCATACCGAAATTTTTCAATCGCTTTAAAAGTGATTTTATCCTTGTCTGATCGCTATAAAATTTTCACCAATGATTGACTAATAACGAAAATGGAGGCTTCGTTCGTGAGCCCAGTTATCGGCCGACGAGCCCAGTTCTCGGCCACAAAAGAGTGCTCTCGGTTTCTCAGAATAGACAACGCTTTATCGCCATTTTTTTGTTGTTAAATCACTTATAAGGCTTGTGTTTTAATATTTCGATCACAAATTATCCTTAAAGAGCTTTGTTTGCTGTTAGAAAACGAAGTTTTTTGCACACCTAGTTTTTCTCTTAAGGGCAGTCTAGCGAGGCTAAAAAAGAGTTGGGTATTTTAAACAGGGTTTAAGTCAGAACTCATAGTTTTAATTCATATCTACTGTCAGAACACTTCTTTCTTTCATTCTTGCCACAGCGAATGAAATTGTACTTAAAATTTCGGTCGCCCTGCCATCAAAAAACTCCATTCAAAATTATGAGCGCTTTTTAGTGTTGACGGTGAGCAGGGTGGCCGAGAATAGAGAAATACAGAAAAGTATTAAGGAAATATTGAGGAGGGAATTTAGGTCAAAGAATAAAACAGGCCAGCAAACGTTTATATTTAACAGATAGCTTTATCGCTCTACGTTCTTTATGCCAAGAATTGGCTCATTTGGGCCCTCTATACGGATAAAATATAAATTTGAATTAAACCATGTAATTCGAGTAGCCGTAAACAAACACGTTTTCGGGGAAACCAAATTCACCTACCTTCGCGTCACCTCGACGTGCTCACAGGATATAGTAGCTGTAAACTCAAACCTCGGCAGGACGGAAGACAAGGAATCAAGCTACCTTTGGAAACAATTGCTTTTTATTCAGATTCATTTGTGGCTCGAAAAATAAACGTTGTACAAAAAGTGGCCGAGAAATGGGCCCCATACTGTATAGATTGAAATTTGTCAAAATGTAGGTTTTAGTAAAATCGATATTACTATGACAACAATAAACAAAAAACTGTGAAATTGATAAACGCCTAATTTTGCGATATCTAGACCAGCTACTGAAAATCCAACACTAGGAACTTAAAGTTTGGTGTTTAGCAAATAACCTCCGCAAGAAGTAAAAAATTCTGTATGTTTGAATTCGTCTAAAGCGAAAATATATTTCAAACCTTAAATTTTCAATAGCCGTGATAAATTATTTAACAAAAACGTTATAAATGACTCAAATTATTCTTAAGTAGCGTCAGAATCCTGCTTAATATCATATTTCGAGGCTAGGAAATTTTGGTGTATTTTCGTTCTTGCCATCTTGAAAACTAACCCGTCTTCTCACCACCTGTATAAGTGCAACTTCGTTCAAAATTTGGACTTTTAGCGCTTTTTTGTATATCTCTGAAACGACTCGAACGAATTCCTTTAAAATCTCTTCTCATAATGTTCATAATGTATGCAATAATGTAATTAAGATTGATTCACTGCAACACTTTACAATTTCAAGACAAACTAATCCTACTTACCGGTCAAAAATCCGCGCTACAAATTACATTCGCTGTTTTGACGTCATGCTAAGCTTTCCAGCTTAATGCGGACAATACATATATCCATGACAATTAGGTAAATTTCAGTGTGAGTATTTTCAATGTTTTACAGTCAAAGGATGCGATAAATTTAAACTAAAAATGTACTTGTCATGGAGGTATGTATAGTGCGAATTATTTTGGAAAAATTAGCATAACGTCGAAACAGTGAACGTTGTAGCGCTCCGTAGGGACGGGTAGGAGAGAACCTTGGGAACGGGGTTGCAAATTGACCACTTAAGCATATCTACACTAAAACGTTTCTAAGATAGTCATACTGACATAAAGACATCCGGAATCTTACCTCAAGAAAATGTAGTAGGTTAAGCTTCCTTTGTAGCCTTTGCCAGTCTCTCTGGCAGTGCAAGTGAGCGAAAAAGCGGGCGAGCAGCGTCAAAGCGAGTAAGCCTCCATCTCTCCCCAGCCCCGGGCACGCGGTTTTCGTGCAACTCCTCTAGATCTGCTTTCCCTACTGTCTTGGAGCCTTCTACTGCGCTTATATATATGCACTTATTAGTTAAATATGTCAGTTGTCATTTTCCCTCCCTTTACAGTGCATTCAGAAAACGTTGAACACGTCTGCTCCGAGTACTACTTTGATTCCAAAATAAATAATAACTGGGAAGACGCCGAGCAATACTGCAAGGAAAGAGGCTATGATGGTCTGGTCTCCATGCAAACCGAGAGGGAATGGGTGTATTTTAAAAACATTACAACTAACATTACAGACGAGCAAAAGAGAGCACTTAAAAAGCATCGATGGTTCATTGGCTTGCGGTACTTTTCGTACAAATGGTGCTGGTCTAGTGATCTAAAAGCCTGTATAAACCAAACATCAAATGACGAAGGAAATTGGCGTTGGTATGCTGGAGAACCAAACAATCTTCGTGCTGAGCATTGTGTTGAGATGTTTCAGGGAGGAAAATACAACAACATCGATTGCGAACAAAGAAAGGGCGACACAGGGTTCATTTGTGAAAAAAAAGTTGGTATGTAATGTCACACTAAATAATTTTACATAGCAAATTAAATTTTTAGAGACTTTCGTTTGACTGAGAACCTCAATAAAGACTGTAGCCCTCTGTTTAGTGGTCACTCATCAAATTCTCAGAATTTGCTTTCTATATTTACTGTAAATATGACCTCCACTGAGAAATCACCTCTACTAAACGGACGCTGACGCCTTTCAAACTTAGACAGTGCGATGTTTTGACACAACGTCCCATGCCCACTTTTTTCAAACAGCTCATAAAAACTTAGATATAGGCAACGAACGACAGCTGTCTTGGGCGGATAATCCCACATTGGTTCGATCCGTTTAGCATTTTCACGAAGCGCATGTCCACATCCCTTCATTAATTTTATATGACCAGTTTACAATGCAGCCCGCCAACCCGACAAAAAAATAACTGTCCGCTTTGGACTGAAGTAACTTGTATCCCTGTGATAAGAACTTTTCAATACTTCACAGATCTCTTTTGGAAAGCTCATGACAAATAAATTAGCCAACTTCGAACAAACGTCAACGCGAGCCCATTCTTGAAATCAACAGTGTTCACTATTTTTGTTGTTGTTGTTTTCATTTTATTGCAATTTTTCCTATTATGTACAGAATTTTGTAACGTTTACCCGAGAGTAACCGCTTCGTAAAGGTTTCTTAGAGGTTTGTCTGTAGTTCTGCAGTGGCCAGTTAGATTGAGACACGAAATTTGTCTCTTTTATAATGTGGGATTACTTAATTAGTTCAAAATATTTTAAGATGGCCCCGTCATTAATACAGGTGCATTGAGCTATGACGAACTTTTCGTCATAACTTTTCGTTTGTAACGCCAAGAAAGCTTTGCAAAAAAACAACAGATAGGGGAGGGGGTTTATGCGGTAACTGTGAGGGGTCATGGAGGTATCCCCATTAATGTCAAACTCAGAAAATCCGCGTGAACGCCTGAAAATTTTCAGTAATGTTGATTGTGACCAACACAATAATGTTCAGGAAACGCGAGGAAAAATCAAAATCACAAACTAAATACCGCTGCTATTAAGGTTTAGTTTTCTCACGCCTCATTAGCTTTTTCACAGCAACACAATAACATTCAAGAAATGTTTCTGGTGTTCAGGGTTGTGCGAGTTTCTCATTAATCCCACAAAGCGAGTTTCGATTCAAGATATCGCTCCAAATATTCATTGGTCTCCAAACACTTTTCGTCTCTCGCAGGTTGATTTTAATCTATTGCAGTCTTGTATTGTTTCGAATCTTTCTATACCTTTTTTTGGTGTATTTTCTAGCTTGTAGCAACTTTTCCGGAAAGTACTTTTTCAAAAGTCCTAAGACAACAGACAGGCCTATTACGAAAGAGAACAAACGTCAGAGCAGTGTAAACAAGCCATCGATCTTCTTCACGGAAACAACAATCCAACCGTATCAGTCAACAGATGGTAGTCATGGTAAGCTTGCCTGTTTTTCTTTTGTAGTTTACAGAGTTTCTATTACCAGGTTTAAAACATAGCAGGTCATGTTCTTTTCAACGTTTCCTCCTTCGTCAAAGAAAGCCCACTTCGTTTTTCGCTGGAAATATTCTGCAATATTTTTCGCAGTTACTTAGGAACAGTTCAGGCCACTAAATGCTTCAAAAGTAGCTGTTGTCTCAATCATGCCTTCATGCAAATGTGATTACTTTATTTACTCAAATAAGCGTTATGACAATCATTACAGTTTTACTCTTGGTGCGGCACACAATTGGGAGTAAAGCTTGCAATCAAGGGCCTCCTATGAGCCAACTCATGTATAGAATCTCAGATAAATAAACAGCTCGATGAACACGAATTTAACCACAAAAGAAAGTACTTTAATTAACATGGCCAACCCACCTGCTTACCATCCCCATAGATCATGTTACACTGCACAAAGTGTACAAAGGAAACTGCGCTCAATGTAAAAGCTACACGAAAAATCCTAAATCATTAATTGCTCATACTGGGCAAATATTTTATATGATAACCTCTAACTCTCAGAATCCACACACAAAAAAAGAGAAAAACTGTAATAATCTAAAGCGCTCACACCCTTATACACCCTTTCATGCTTTATTGGTCTCTTTAAGGGGATAGCCCTGCACTAAACACGCTGGGCAAGAGCTTACTCACTCTTGTACCTTGTTTAGTTTGATAGGAAACTGTGTGAAACAATGAACCTAATAAAACCTGGCTTAGTAGCTATAAGAATCTCTACTTGTATTTTAAGTGGAATGCAAAAGTCCTTTTTAAACCCTTTTAGAAGATTTTTGTGTCACCCACACTAAAAGCGACATCTCCCTTAAAAATCAAACGTGATAAGAGACCTTAAAATCGAGGTTTGGCCACTTTACCGCAAACAGCAAAACGCGGTCTGCGCTTAGCGATTTCACGTTAGCCGTCTGCGCATATTTGGGACTCAAAATTCGCAGGTGGTAGTTCGTGGCATTCGTGTTTGTATTTATTCACTCGTTCACTTAGCTGAGAAGTCGTCTTCAAAATTACGTTTCGTTGAAAAAGAATTCGATGATTAATAAGTCAAAGAGATCCACAAAGTAGTATATTCTCTCAAAAGTGGGTTTGTGATGTTTTACATGGGCGTGGGGGACCCCCCAGGTAGGTGAGGTAACCCCCTTAGGTCGGTGGTCGGGTAATCAGCCTATCCATATAATCTCTCATTTCAATTTGATCACGTTTACATGATAGGCGGGCTGACCCCCCCAGGTGGGTTACCATGTTTTGCTAGACCAGGTAACCCTTTTAGCCGAGGTCAACTTCTGCCAACGTTTCAACTAGCTCTGCTAAATTGGATACCCCTAGATAAATATTGATTAAAGAAAAAAAAAAGTGGAATAAAGCCCCTTACCGGGGTCGAATTCGGGTATCAAATTCGTCGACTGAACAACTACTGAACTACCTTTGCTTGGCGGAGGCTTCGCGTCATAAAAATGACAATAGCAAGCCACAGCACAAACCGCCACTACACTTCGTTTTTCCGCCATTTTTTGTTTACTTGCTTAGCGAGCATTTAATAATATAATCCCAGAGGAACGGGAACGAGGCCGGAGGAACAGTCCTCGCGAAACGTCCCCAGCAGGCGAAGAGAGAGAGAAACGGTTGTTCAATGTTCGCAGGCTAGGTAAATTCAAAGACCCTTAGACCCATGAACGATAAAACAAATTGAAACAATTTACGATTCCGAGGTTGTTTTTTGGACTGAAGTAGTTTTCAATTCTCAAAAAAGACAACTGAACATGTACAGTTTAAACAATAGTGGAGATTGTACTGACTAAAGAACGTGTGAAAGGTATGCCATAGACAACCTTTAACATTTAGTAGCCGTGAACCACCCACTCAGTACTCAAAACGATTTGGGAAGCCGTTACTTTAAGGGGAAGACCACTGATGCATCCACATCCAGCTGTGACAATGGGAAACGATAAACTTTCCATAGTAAATAACCCTGGCTTCTTAACTTGCAGAGAAACTACTACCAGTCGAGTTTCCTTCTGATCGCCCCAGTAAGGGAGCAAATATCACTTTCATCGTGTCCACAGCTCTAGCTGTGTTGCTGGTGGTCCTGCTAATTGTCTTAGGATTCATTCTTTGGCGAAGGAGACTCCATAAAAATAAAGGTAAAAAAAGATCCTGTAAACTTTGAATATTCCAGTGCTCTTGATCAGTAGGACTTTACGTGTCACTCTTGTCCAAAAAGGCTATATGTAATACAAGGTTCAATCTACATAAAGGCTAATTAGTGTATGTCTGAATTTGATAAACCGTGCCCACTGGGTTTTTGCTTGAACGCTGGCACCGCCCATGTTAAGCTTGGCTAGCCAGAACAAATGGAGGGGGCTAGCTGACTAGCTCGCGGATAGTGGGAGGCTGCCAGCTCTGTGTCAAAAAGTAGAGGGGTGGAGAGGGAACTTTTGACACTTTGATTAGCGTTTTTAGTGAGAGAGCGGTGCAAAGTCAAAATTTTCCCTCCCAACGAGAATTGTATTGTTAATAGCAGAGCTCTGGGGGAGGGATTTTCTGTCATGGGTGGAGAGGGTGAGCACTTAGTTTGTGGACTTGGCTCTCTAGAGACTGCAGGCACCTTTCACCAAAACCAGTAAGACAATTAATCAGACATATTGTACAAATTTTTCACATCCACCTTTTGTTACTCCTTTCTACATTACATCCTTACACGTATTTTCTTCCTTCGCCCTTTTTCCTTAATACTTCACGGCTCCCTGTCATCTTTGCTTTCTCTGTCCTTGCTCTTTATGTTTGCCTAGAATAGTCCGTTATTTTTTAGTACTGAGAAAACGAATTACAACTCTTTTAATAGGCAATTATTTTCGGGTTTCGTTGTGTTACAGTATTTTCCAACATTAAAGGATGCTCTTGCGTCGGTTTACTATTTCAAATTAATTATCTAGATTTTTCGGCTCCATACACCCCCAATGTCCCTATTATTCATTTTGAGTTCGCTTGAGTAAAAAGAATCCAATGTTCCGAAAGGGGTCCTCTTATAGGCTTAATAGATTTTTCACTGGCTATTCTGCTTTATTGTATTGTTAACTGTAATTCGAACTCAAGAAACAAAGAGTCGCGGGATACTCGTCGCATTTTAATCATTTTTTGTTACAGGTGATCGGCAAGAAAGCCATGAGGTTGACAACATCGAACGAGAGCCATCTGTACCAAGGCAAACCTCGTGCGATGAAACCTATTTTCTTCCGAACA